GTGTGTGTGTGTGTGTGTGTGTGTGTGTGTGTGTGTGTGTGTGTGTGTGTGTGTGTTGTGTGTGTGTTGGAACACAGAGCTTTGTGTATGCAAGCAAGCATTCTACTCCTGGGGTGCCAAGCCCCAGGTATTTTCCTTGAGTCTCCTCTCTGTTTTGTCGTCTGGGTTCCCTGGGTCTTTGTTTTGTAGTATTAAGGCCACAAAGCATTTGGAGCTTCATTGAGACAGTTAAAGATGAAACCAAATATCTACTACCTTTCAGGTTCCTTTATTCTTTTAACTGCTGCCACAAGGTGGCTCTAGGGCCAGGGGAAACCAGGGCCAGCCTCCTTCATCCCACCTTCGCTGTGCAGCCTGCCTTTCCAAGCCTGGCTTAGCATCTTCCAAAGAGATGCCCCTGCCACTAACGAGTATCTTAGTGAATGTTCTTATCTGAGGATAATCAACAAGAAGCCCAGGCACCCGGTGACTAACTCAGTCCATTTATCATCGGCTTCCACTGCTGCAAAGAAAGTCTTTCTCCCTGCCACCTTCTGTGCGGTCTGTACCCAGATTACTTCCTGCCAGAGCCACTGGTGGGGACTGCAGTGCTGCTGTTCACTTCATCCAGCTCTCTGGTTAGCTGGCATGGATGCCTTGCTGTCAGAAGTGACTTGCCAAGGATTTATCATTGGCTACTTCCAATCCATCGGCATGCTACGGATCCTATGATCCCCAAGGCAATTGATCGATCGATAGCTTCCCTTTCTGTCCTTGATTTAGACTAGTCTTATCTGTTTGATCCCATACTGTGACCCCATGGGGCACTGAGGCAATACTTGGCCAGTCCAATGTGCTCCATTCTCGTTCAGTCCCCCCCCCCTTTTTAGTTGTGAAGCATCATCTTCCTTCCTTCTGATTTTCTTCAGTTCCAAAAACACCCTCCAATTTCACGTGGCTAAATACAGAAGCAATAAGGGAAATGTCAGCACTCACTTTGCAAATGTTTATGACTATCCCTCGGTCTAGCTATTAAATATTGTGCATTAAAATTGACAAAGCAATAAACAAGCCTCCAGGCGGACAGCATCCGGTGGTAGAAGGCTGCTTGTCAGTGGGTATATTCTTC